ATGAGCCTCATACTGCAGTGGGTTGTCTCAGCTCTAACCCAGAGGAGTGAGGTTTGCAAACAAGCGAGTCCAAACTCAAACGTTATTTGCACTTTTGCAGTAAAAGAAAAAGAAAAATACTAAAAATCTTACATTGTCAAGCAATATACTACAAGCACACAGCTCTGCTAGTGCTTTAATTTGAGCAATGGGTACTGTACTTTGCGAACTGGAAGGTTCTGGATGAAGTCCATCACTGCCTCTCTGGTGGATGGGAGTCTGTATTGTCCATTGGGTTTGTTTTTGTCACTGCACACCTTAGCCAGCATCATGTTTGGCGCAATTCCTGGAAGATTGGAAAATATCATTGGCTATTTTTTTCCCCAAACAGCTGGTAAAGCATGCACAATAATTCCCAAAATATGCATACTAGACTTGTCAGGGTTGCATTAGATTAGAATGAACTGATGAACTTGGTGTACAGTCAAACAAAAGTAATAAAAATGTAGTATCAAAATATGTTGTAAACTATCATAAATAGAGCAATAAATAAATAGATATTCGTAATGACAGCAGCTTCAACAATGGCACAGGGATCAGCGATGTTCAGTGACTGCTTAGAGCTCAGGATCTGAGATTTATTACTGTATATCCCTGTTATGCAGTTAAAATGAGCGTGTTTTAAATTAAAACTGGTTTCTCGCTCACCTGCACTGGCAGTCAGCATCGTCTTCTGCTCAATGCGGAAGCGCATCTCTCGCACAGCCTCTTCAACAGATGTCCCAAACACCTCGAAATCACCTGCAGGAGCATGCACACCTTCAGGGCCCACTGGGCTGGGAGAGGAGCCTGGGCTGTCCTCAAACAGTACTGGGGAGAGCTCTCTCACCTCTGTCACAGCTTCCTGGGAAGGCTCAGCTTTTTTCTCATCTTTACAAGAAAAAATAAATAAAATCACACAACAATTAAATGGATTCCTGATATATAAAACTTAATATCAATGTGTTTGTGTGTATATATTAAAGAAAAACAAATCCCTACCTGTGGTCATGTCTCTGACACGGAAGTGATGTGTATGTGTGGACTCTGGCCAGTGCTGCCTCTGCTCCAGGTGGTCTGTGAAATCTAGATAAGCTTCATCCAGGCTCATTGGCTGAAAGTTCGGGTCATAGTCTGCAAAGATCTCCCGGATCTAACAGAAGCACAGACAGATGGGCATCTGTTGAGCAACAAGCCACTGAAAGAATTTGTTTGCATGTGTGTTTTTAGGTATTGCGCTTACCTCATTGCTCACAGCTCTGTACTTATCAAAGTTAAGTGGAACAATGACTAAACTGGGGCAGAGTTTCTTTGCAATGAAGCCAGGCATGGCAGCTCGAACCCCATATTTCCTGGCGTGATAGTTAGAGGTCGACTGTGAAAGGAAAAGAGGCGATATGAATGAAACAGAGAGAGTGGCTGTTCTGGATCTTAAATGGCCATGATTTCAATACTTAATCTCCGTGTAGTTTGTAAAGTAGTGAGAGCATGTGTATACTATATTTCAGTGCAGTGTGGTTTATATTTGAAATAAACCTTTAATATCTTGTTTCAGAGTTCAGACATAATTCATAGTCAGTATCTGTGGCGTGTCCATTAGCCACAATAGCAATGTTTTTAACCCACCAGCATGCTCATGGATCCTACGGCCATGGGCTTGTCCTTCAGTTCAGGACAGTCTCTCATTTCAACAGCAGCGTAGAAAGCATCCATGTCCACATGTACAATCACACGGCTTAGATCACGACTCTTCTCCAGCGCTGTGGAAACCTTTTCCACCTACACAGAGAGAATAAAATGAAAAGAAGCCAGTTGCTTGAAGCTCACCTGAGTTGTGTCTGTGTGATTTTCGGGTCACCTCTGGAAAAAGAAGTGAGCTTTGGCCATGTCAATCCCTTACATCTTACCTGAGCTTGTGCTTTGTTTAACTGCTGCTCTGTGATCCGTGCCTTCTGTAGCATCATTTTCGTAATGCGCTGGTTCACCTGCTGATCTCTCTTCAGCTCATTCTCGTAAAACTTAGATCCCTGCCCAGGAAGGACAAGGACAATGGGGAGTTATAACAACTCTGTTTTACAGCTTTAATAAAAAGCTACTGTAGCTCATTTATTTTTAGGACTGGATGTCATTACACAGAGGATAGTGGACGCAAAGGGGAACAGGATACAATCTACAAAAGTGGATGGAGGTTCATATTGTCCACAGTGTCATTTGTGCCTTTTATTGGTTAAAGCTAGATACATCCAAGTAAACCGGGGAAAGGAAGAAAAAAAAAAAGAGTCAATATTTAGATTTTGCTCCCACAAAGTCCACAATGACTATAGCAGCGAGAAACTGTCCACATACACATGTAAGCTTTTATAATACTGCAAACTGAAACATACTTAACAATGTAATGCCTCATCTACATATTTCAAAATAACATTTTAGAACACCATTATACAAAAGTGATTCATATTACTGTAAGGAATGAATTATGACACTTATATGGTGATATAAGAATTCTACAAAAAAATGCATCATCAGAAATAATGTCAGTTGAAGGGTGCCTGTCGAGAAGCCATTCTTAAGGAAGGCAAACTAGAAGAAAAGGCTCATGTGTGTCAAATTACACAAGAAGTGGACTGAAAATCAGCAGCAACAGGTCTTGTGGAGTGCTGAGTCCACATTTTAAATTTTTTGTTCAAATTGTCATCAGTATGTATGCAGGTGGTCAAGAGAAAGGTTAAATAGTGGATGTGTGCAGCCATCTGTGGAGCACGGTGGAGGCTTTGTCGTGGTTTCTTGTTAAAACTGATTAAATTATGAACACAGAAAAGTATCATCGTACAATAACATCTGGAAAGCGTGTGATTAGCAACAACTTCATTTTTCACACCATCTGAATTAAGGCTTGTGTCCAAACACACTGCCGGTGCAGTAAAAACTTGGGTACAAAAAGCACACAATGCAACACTATCGGTCATGGAGAGCATGGAACAGTGTGGCATCATCTAAAAGGAGCCAACATCCATAGAAGAGCTTTAAATGTCTTCCAGGAAGCCTGGAGAACTATTCCTGAAGACTGCTTAAAGAAATGACAAGAAAGCTTAGCTAAGAGAGTTCAGGCTTTGTTGGAGAATAAAGGTGTCAAACATTTCATGCTTGTTAGAATTGCCTTATATGTACGGTAGTACTTCTATGTATTTTTTGTGCGTGTTTCAATATATTGCTGCCCTTATTTTCCATCCATCCTAGCAAAACATAAAGACATACAGAACGGCACGTCAACAAATTATCCATGCTTGTGTTCTAAAAACTAATCATTCGGTTATTTGCATCCTCTCGGAGACAGTTGTGTAGATGACTATCGGGTATGTGACCTCAGGTGTGTCATGCGCGTGTCTTTGATTTGTGAGCACTTACCTTGGAGGTTTCCATGATGATCTTATTGATCTTGTCTCTGTCAAGACCTTCCATACCAGCTTTGTTGTCATTGAGAGCCATTCTGGAGAGGAAGCCCTCTTCTTTGGTGGATGCCACCCCATTCTCCATCCTAATGACTTACTTAGTGCAGGTACACTTCAGGTTATAACGAACTGGGCTGTTTTCTGAAGAACTCAGAGCTGTGCATCCCCACATATGTGCGGCTTTCCGGGCTGGATCAGATCCGAGTTTCTCAATGACAAATAAGAGCCACGGTGACTGTAAATTAAGTCACTGAGCTTTCTGACAAACATGTCTCTACAAGTGTTGAAAACAGCTACGGCGGCGGTTTTTTTGGCGGCACTTCCGCGTCCATACGTCATCAGCCAAATGGGCGGAACTAAAAGACCAAGAGCGTCATTTCAGGATTGTACGTACCTTCCCTTCAAAGTTTGCTTTTACAGTTTATGACTTGGGATTGTGCAGTGTTTCTGCTGATATGAGTTAACCTTAGATTGTTATCGGTCCGTTTAAAGTACACTGGATACTTCTGATTGCCAACAAATATGTTATGAAACCCTTTGGCATATTTCACACGAGGAATTAAAAATGGATCTGCTGGTCAAGTAAATTAAGACATTAATTGATGAAATGTAGTTTCGTTGCAAACAACGAAACAGATCCTCACAACACGAATATCAAGGTAAATATTTATGTGGCGTCACATTTACATGAAACATGAGTGCTATAGCACACACACAAAACATATTCGTGTTAACTATTCCTACCTGTGATCAGAAGTCATGCCAAATTGATTTTTCTTTATTCCAGTTTTACTGGTTTCTTGTGTTAAATGTAAACCGCTTCTTTTGATTGGACTGATTCTTGCTGTGGGTAACAAAAAATCTCCTCCTGTGGCTTGTATGTGAGGTAGAAGAATCATGTTTGTCTACACAAAAAGTTAGGCTATATACAACATTGTTTTATACATACAGTTGTAGTCATTGGAGACTATGCAGCAACTGTATATATATATATATATATATTATACAAGTAAGGAACAATGCAACCTATTTATTAGAGTTAACCAGACATTTATCCATTATTACGGATTTTTGTTCTATACACCCAACAGTGGACAATATCTACTGTTCTATTTTTTGTTATTTCTATTTTTCATATTTTTGATCTGATCTATCGTCCCACTACAGATCATCCTATTGGGCAGAGCCTGGATGATCAAAGCCTGGATCAGCTGATTGATTTTGGTGTTAAAAATGCTTAACACGTAACTACTTTTAACTAGAGAAATGTCATTTCCCATTTTGGCAACTTTATTAATAGTTTTTCTTATTTATTCTTTCTTCTTATCTTAGAGTATATACTAATTATATCACTAACAAGTTCTAGTGAGATAACTTGAAGCAAGCACACACGTTAACAGTAAATCTTATAAACCCGTTTGAAATACTTATAATACCTATTTATTTGTGATACAATGTTTGAAACTTTTGATTTAAAAAAAAATCCAGCTTTTAATTTTATTCAAACACATATAACTTCCGGTCTGGGGGTGACCGGCGGTCGTACACAGTAAAGCGTGGCTGCGGCTCCTCCCCCCTCGACCCGAAAGTCCTCCGCGGCTGCTAACTGAACTGCGGAACCACAGCAGAGACTCAGTCCGCTGCTCGTCGATTTTCAGATGGAAGTTGATGTGTAGTGGTTTCCCCGAAGGCCTCCATGTCGAGCAGGAGCTTATGGACTGCAGCTAAGATAGCTAACGAGCGCAACCACAAGTTGTTAGTTAATGTAATACTAGCTAGTTGCGTCATTTGATAGCCACCGCTAACTTAGTTAGCTAGTCTCAGTGGTATACGACGTCAGTTTCAAAACAAAGCACGCAAAACGGAGAAAATCAGATCCAGCTGTCACCTCCAGAGTAGGTGGTGGCCAGACAAGCTAACTCGGTTGAAGTCTGTCAGTGACCTAAGGTATATTACGCCACCTAGACGCTGTTTTGTACTCTCCATTAATGGCCAATTAACGTTATTTTGCAGACCTTAAGTTGAAGAAGGTTTCTGCAACCGTATTTTAACTCAACGAATCCAGCAACTAGCGTCGAGCTACGTGGTTGCACTGATACGATCAGATTCAACTTTTCTTGTAAACTTGGAGTTAAATGTCCGAGAAGAGTTCATCGTCCAGTTCGGATGAGGATGTGGACCCGGAATCCGGGCAGCCCCATGAGCTTGGAGGCGTCCTAAGCAAGGTAACTTTAATTTAATCGGTGTGCAAGTGTTGCTGCACTAGATCACCTGCTGAGCGCGTGTTGCAGCTTTGTAACTGTGTACTTCACGTCTTGTGTGTTTACAGTGGACAAATTACATACACGGGTGGCAGGACCGATGGGTTGTGTTGAAAAACAATACTTTGAGTTACTACAAGTCGGAGGATGAACGGGAGTACGGCTGCAGGGGCTCTTTGTGCCTCAGCAAGGCAGTCATCACAGTAAGTATTTAAACTGGCCAACATCACAGCGAGCTTAGCACCTGTTCAGCATTTCAGTAAGTGAGGGCTCATAAGAGGATAGTTGTTTCTCTAGTAGGTCTCCCTGTTTTGATCCCATCTCTTCTTATTCTTAGCACACGCTCTCCATTTTCCTCTAAGACAGAAAGGTGAACATTAACTTATATTGAGGCTGTGTTGAGATTACAGATAGATATTTGAGCATACCAAGGGAACATTGCTTCAGTGATCATAGCGCTATCAATTGTTTGTGGCCCTTGTTATCTACTATAAATTAGCGTTTGCCCAGGGTTTCAGATGTAAGCTTTGACCACACACTGTAGAGGTTGGACCTACATTCTTCCTATTCTGGCCTCCTGTTAGTCAGATAAACTGAGACCTACCACCCTGGTTAAATATTCACTGCTCTCCCTCTCTCTGATCATACAAGTACAGAAGCCAAACAATTGGTTTTACTGTAATTTGCGCAGCTGTGTTCAATAGGATTACACGATTTTTAAAAGTACAACTTAAGAAGGTCACAGTGAGGTCCTGCTGCTTGTTGGTGTGAACATAATATCAGTTCCTATGCTTGTGCAGACCTGAATGGAGCACGGTTGTTTTGTAATTGCGCTATAGTAGCCAAACCAAGAATGTACACAGTTTTATTACACATGCTCACAAGTAATTGGAGCAACATGACCCAAACTTTTCCCTGCCTCTATTTTTTTTTCCACTAAAGCGGGGTCTAAGGACTCAGGAATGCACAAACAAATCTTTGCTTCTTAGCTCCCATGTAACAGCTACACACTGATACACAACTTGTAAGTAAAGACCGACACCAGAAGCTCCCATTGATTGTACATGTCATTGCATTTTCCCACCATTTATCAGTTTTAAGAGTTAATCTAGTATAAGTAATACTTAATATTTGTATATCTTGTATTAAATACTATTAAATTAATCTGATGCACACAGATGCGTTGTAAAATGTCACAAGAAGGAAAAGTTAGGATCTGACAATGACTAAGACTTATCAGTGGACTGATAAGACTTTTCGTGAAGAAATGTACACGTTTGAGAAAAGAAAAAAAAAAGCTAATGCCGTGTAGATACAGCTGTGCTTACGCAAAGGGGAAGAGAACGTTCCAGTCATGGGGAAAGTGTTATAAACTTCATTGTAAAGGGAAGGTTTATGGTCTGTGCCTGATGCAGCAGTGCAAGATAAACTGGATTTGTCAAAGCTATAATCATGGCTGGATGGGCACAAAGTTGCACACACCTTTTATAGTGAAAATTTAAAACAGGAGCACTTTTTTCATATCCGACTGTTTCTGGTAAGGGAATACGGCAGCGCTGATTTTGTTAGGAACTTCAGTAAAAAGCATTTAAGGGTCATAAAAATCCACCCCATGCTTGTGCCCATTCTAAATATACAAGCTGTGAAATGCAATACCAGCGTTAAAGCATTACTACAATGTTACATAAAGTTTTGCAGGCTGACAATAGATGTCCAGAGTTGTGTGTTGCTGTTGTCAGTGGCTGCAAATAAGCCAGCACATGAGCAACATTCAGCAAATCTAATTAAACTTTGGCAGCATACGATTTTGTCAGCTGACAGAGCAGCTGTATTCTGAACACTGCTGAATAGGGAAAATGGGGGTGGGGACGGACAGAGATTGAACCCCACTGTGTCTTACTTGTTGCAGATCTCTTCTCAGCTGTAAGCAAATTCCAGTTTCAGAGGAAAGGAGGGAATTCTTTGTTGCACATGTTTTGGTGCCTGAGGCGGTTAGTAGCTGGAGCTGGGTGGGGTGTGTTGTAGAATGTGGAAGTGCAATAGTTGAAAGACTTGGCTGAGAAATTGACGGAAATCTTATGATGACCTTGGGTCAGGTGACAGTGTGCTGGAATAATCTGTTTTATGTAGCGCTGCTCCACTACGGTTGTTAAGGGCTACGACAGCAGGCTCAAGACATCATCTTCTAATTAAAATCCGTTTTTATTCCATGGCATATGCATTTCTGTGGCTGATTAAGTCCATATGTGTCTGGAATGTGTCATTGTTAGTAATCCTTTGCCACAGACAGAGAGGTGCTAAAGTGGGATTTTGCTCTTTCCTTAGAAATGTTATTCATTAAGGGAAAATGTTATTGAAATTTGTATTTTGATATTCAAATTTCTGGTTATTTTATTTTCTGACTCATGCACTCTAATAACTACCCATGCGCTCTGCCTTCTCTCTGCACAGCCTCATGAGTTTGACGAGTGTCGTTTTGATGTCAGCGTGAACGACAGCGTTTGGTACCTCAGAGCCGAAGATCCCGAGCACAGACTCCAGTGGATTGAGTCGATAGAACTACATAAGGTGAGCAGTTTGGTGATTTTTCTCTTTCTTCTGCATATTTTAAAATAAACTTGCGAGCTGCATTACCTTGACAGATTAATTTTAGCTAACATGATTTCAGTTCCTGTTGTCATCAGAGACAGCAGGAGCTTGTTGAGAATCAGAAAAGTGTTTCTTAAGCAGTATTGTGTTAGCTTTTCTTCCTTTTTTGTTGACGTAATCACTTAAAAATTGTTTTGCTGTCCGTGTTGTTGGGTTTTGTTTTTTGTTTTTTTCAGCATTGGAGTTGAATTTGAGTTCAAGGCTTGTTTCTTTCTTTTTTCCCTTTTTTGAGTTTTATCTGTTTCCTTTCTTAGTGAACAGGGTGTGGCAGGGCAAGAATCAGACCCATACACACATACTGAGAGCTCTTTACCCTGGGAATGTGAGGAATCTGAAGAGTGAGGGGTTGATGTGGGGATGTTGTTACATAGTAGGCAGCTGTTTTCTCTGCAAGGACATCTGGTTAATGGTATATCACCTCTGAGCATAAAGTTTGTAAAACAAATTGGATATGGTTCAGGTCGTGTCTGAAAGGTTGTATTTAGATGTGTGTGTGTGTTGGTATTTTGGACCTTCATTTTATAAGGCTGAGACTGTGTGTAACTTCGGATCACATGACTTCAGACTGTTGATACACAGTTGCCCGAAAGGCCTCTACTTGGAAGCGGATTGTGGGGTTAGCCAGGGAACTTAAGGTTTAACTCTGAGTTTTGGGGCAAAAGTTACAAAGTTACCGGAGGTATTCATTTGATTGTGTGTCTCACTCAGTGTCTCGGCTGATTAAAGCACTTGTTGACCTTAAAATATTTTTTTCAAGTAAGTCATTTAAGTTAGTGTTTGTTTGTTTTTTTATACTTGTCCTTTACTTACTTCAAGTAAAGTTTAAGCGTAACAGCAGGTTATACATTTTAAATTCGATACATTTTTTTCTAACCCTATTCCTCATTGGTCATCTGGAGAAAACACTGTCTCTTTTATGTAAACACGTTCACAGCTTCCTCCCCCAAAACTGTGTGGTCTGTGTAAGACGATAACCAATGTCATGACACCATACCACATGGCGTGATAATAGTTGTTAGGCACATGCCTGCAATATCATCTGTAAAGAGAACGGGGTGACAATGGTGGAGCTGCCAGTTCTCATGTTCTCTGGCAAAAGCCATATGAGCGGCATGGTGCACAGGTCCCACTAAAGGACACTGGACCCTCATGCCACCCTCATAGAGTCTGTTTCTGACAGTTTGGTTAGAAACATGTACACGAGTAATCCTCTAGAGGTCATGTTAAGGGCTTGCTCCATCTGTTTGTCATTGCATAAAGGAGCAGATCCTGCTGCAGAGTTGATGACCTTCTACAGCCCTGTCTAGATCTCTTGTTGTACCATCTTGTCTCCTCAGAAGTGACAAGGAAAGAGGCCACCAGCTGGAAATCTATTTTTTGGGGGGGGGGGTTGTTGCCTCTCCGGTGCATCTATTGATACTTTGACTTGAACAGCATGCTTCCTAACTGGACAGACTGACATTCCTGAAGTTGAATGGAGATTTGTTGTTAACTTACTACTGCCTTTCTTTAAACTGCAGTGCATTACATCGGTGGTACATTCATTTCATGGTCCATGCCAAAATGATGTAAGAGACTTGTTTTTATAGTGGTTCTTATTGTAGCGCAGTGAACACGCACCATTCAAAAAACATTCACTTTTTCATGAATTCTCATAAGCCGTGCTTCTCCACCGAAGAGTGCTGTCAGTTCACTTTGTGAGTCCTGCTGGATGGTTTTTAGTGTGGGTGTGAGTGACCTGAGGTCAGCAGTCCATTAACAAGGGTGTGAGAGTATTTCAAAGTTATGTCTGAACTGTAACCCACAGCAACCTCAGTGAGCTTAATGAAGCACCACCTCAGCATTACTGTAGTGTTTGTACTGCTCCCAATTGGAAAAAGAAGGACTTGCATCATGCAGTGTACACTATGTGGAATATTGTTGTCTGTGTTTCCAGGCTAACTAGCATACACTAAAGTTTCTGCTGAAACTCTAAAACATGTGCTATAAATATAAATATTTCATTTGTAGGTTCTTTTTCTGTCCTAGTCCTCAACACTTCTTCGCAACAATAGAGCACACACATAACAGCATCTTTCCAGCATCAGTGTGATAGCAGTGCATTTCAGTGTAAATCCTTGAAGGTCACCCTTTTCTACTTTGTGGCGTTCTTTTTATTTTTTTATTTTTTTATTTTTTTGTGTGCCACTTTTATAAATTCATACAGGGCAAGTTAATAATCAGTATTTAACAACTCTTAATTTGCTTTAATGTGGGGTGACTAATGATTCCAGCTTTTAAACACCCCAAAAGCAAATGGCTATTATATGTATATCACCGTGGCAAAATTAAGCTGGTCAGAGGTAGTTTTTGTGCAAATCCATTTGTGTTTTTATGTGTGGGTGTGTTTGTGTTGGTGGTGGGAAAAGTCGTGCTAAATGTGGGGACGTTAAGTGCTGCTCTCGATGAATAATACATTTGTTTAATCGCCTGTTCTCACAGCAACAAAATCAAGAGGGACACATAAAACTCCTTTGCACAGAGAAGGCTGATCCATTTAGGAGTATTCAAAGGGGTCATATAAGGGAGCGGGGGGGAATACTTACTGTTTTATTTGTGGGTTTGCTGCCACTTCTTTGGGATGGTTTTGAGGACTGTCTGAACTTCACTGGTCCCTTCACATCTCTTTGTAAAGGAGAGATAAAAGGAAAGAAGTAGATAGAAGTAAAGCTCCAGACAAGTATTATCCCCTGCCTCCCACTCTCTGCTGCTCTCTCTCTCTCTGTTATAATATACAGTATGCTTCTTCACTCGCCCACCCATACTTTATTGGTTTATTACACAAACAGCCCCAGACAGCCTGCGTTTCGCTCTAATGCATACATGCATGCACCCTTCATTTTCACCCTTCTCTCGCTCTTACTCTTCCATGCAAACACACACAGTCACGGTTGCTTGCTCAGTGATGGATGCCGGACATAAGGACGGACAAGAGGAAAAGGTTTCACATATCAGGGTGTGTGGTCTGTTGATGGTTGTGTGCAGCGAGAGTGGAGGGCATGTTGGTGTTTTTGTCTTTGAGCCCATGTGCGTGACTGTAAAGGACTGACTGACAGGGGACTCCGTTTCACTACCAAGGAATTTAGAAGACTCCTTCCTTTGACTGAGACGGTGCAGCTAGTGTCTGCCTCGTCTCTGTTCGCTACGGAGGGAATGACTGCTTTTCTCTGTTCTTCCTTTGCTTTTCTTGTAGCTCTGTTCTTTTACTTGATGAGCTGAGCTAAAGCCTGCATGGCTTCTCTTCTCCTCCTCCTATTTCCTTTTGTTTAATAGTGAGGTGTGTCCGGGGAAACGGGAATACCGGATTAAAGCTTCTGAACTGTCACAACATTGGGAGTGTTGGGGGAAGTGGCTGGCCATGTTGAGGCCAGCAAACCGCCGGGACTGCCGCAGTGTCCTGCTCTGCTTTGGCTGTTGGAATGGCCGGATGGTGGGCTTTTAGCACTTTGGCATGCTGCTTGCTCCCTGTCACCCATCACTAAAATCTTTAATTATGATTCTAGTTTTATGGCAATAAAAATGATGTGATCCATCTCTTCCGTTGCCCCCACTGCATAAATTTTATTGTGCTTGCATGTAGTGTTTTAAATTGAGATATAAGAAGAACTAGTCTCTTTAATGAACTTCACTGCATGCCAGCCTTAGTCACTATTAGTAGGAAATTAGACTGAAACTGCATAGCTCATAGCTAACCTCAGATGTATCGACAATCTCTGAGGAGTTTACATCACATTTACCCTCATTTCATCAGCATCAACATTATAAAACCTTCAGATCAGGACGCCATTTCATTCGTCGAGAATGAGTGGAGTTAAGTTTGCATGGTTGTCATGCAACATAAAAATGCCAGTCTCTGGTCACAGGTTGGTCTCGTCATTGCTTCATTGCACTTTACTGCTTTTTCTGTTTGTACCAAATTAGCAACACTGTAAAAATAACATCTGTCATCTGCACAAAATGGTAATTATATATTGTCAATCAAATGTAATAATCTGCATTAGCAACAAATGCAGAAAAGAATAAATATATTTTAGATTGAAGGCTCTAGTGTTTAGAAAGCATTGAGGATGTCGCATTTCACTTAAAACTGGATTTTTAGTTGGGATACTATTATATTAGCAGTTTAAATCAGCTTTTACAGTATTTATTTATCTTTGCATTTATGTATTTGTTTTTTATTTTGTTGTAAGATATCTAACACTTTTTGCCAAGACTTTATTAACTCATGTAGCTCTTAAGTGTATCCATTGGCTTTCTTAATAAGAATTAATACATTTTCATGTTTTGTTAAAGTCATTATTACTCTAAGACATCCATCAGCAAATACAGTTGCTATGGCAGTTATCTGGATATTGATATTTGTGGCTCGGCATTGACACGCTGAAGCTTTGCTCTCTGTGGGTAGAGATTTAGAAAATCTTCTCTTTTTTTTTTCTTTTTTTTTTTAAGTTGTTATGTTTACATTTTGCTGTGACAGCCAGCCCGAAAGCAGAAGATTGTTTTAAAACAAACAGTTGCTTTGACTTTGGACTCTCAGTGTATTTGTGTGTGTAGTCTGTGTCAGTACAGTTCAATGAATGTTGCTGTGGTTAGTTAAGTGAAGGTGCTTTATTGTCACTGTTTTGAATTTAAATTCGTTCTGTGGTGTTTTTTGTGTGGTGATAATGTGTGTCTTGTATGAAAAATACAAATGTTGTAAAAGGTTAATCACAACACTGTGGTGGAGGGGAGGAGTAAATCTGGTTGTTACTTAAATCTTGTCTTTGTGTAGCTTTTGAAACAGAGAAGCATATACTGCTTTGTACTAAATACATGCTTTAATATGTCAGTTTTATCGTGTTTTGAGATTGCCTGTCCAGCTCGTTCTCACTAATGTTACATCTCGGAAACAATTCACCACAACTTTACGAAGTGTTTTTGGACATAATTCAAGAATTCATAAGTGAACAGCCTGTTTTTACAGCAGCCATTTTAATACGAAATGATAGATAAACACACATGAATCACATAAATTAAAGCATTGTACCTAAACAGTACAAACCTTCAGTGGTGTTTTAATCACCTATTTCATGTGAGAATGGCTGCTGGAAAAAGATTTGTGACTAAAATTTAGACAAATATCTGCAATAAATTCATGAAGTATTGACATTTGATAACTAAGAGGTCATGTGCAGACAGATACAGATGTAAACTGCAGCTTGACTGCTTGCAGAAGGCATGCAACTGTGAAGCAATAACCATGATTAATATCACAGCAAACTCTTTATTGAGTGATTGAGTTTTCTGTTGCTATGGTTTTAAACACTTAGATCGTTACCTGGTTGCCGCTGTTTGATGTCGGTTTTCTCAGTCTCTCACTGTGGGATATTACAGCAGAGGAATTCACGTGGGCGCTCTGTCAAGATTGTCACCTGATCCCTCTTCAGTTTGCTCTCTGTCGTTAGGAAATTTTTCTGCATGCCAATTAGCCAATGGAAATAGCTTGCAACCATGTCTTAATTTTGAAATCAAGTGGAAAATTGGACATAAAGCCATGACTAAACCTTGGGAAATCACCTGAGAGTCTTAAAACATATTACCACCATGGCAAAATAATGTTTCCGTTTATGCTGTGTAAATGGTAAATGGCCTGTATTTATATAGCGCTTTACTAGTCCCTAAGGACCCCAAAGCGCTTTACATATCCAGTCATCCACCCATTCACACACACATTCCATGTAAGGAAACATGCGCATTTAAATGAGAGGCTTTAATAATATGGGTTATGAAGTTGCTGTCTGTATGGACACTTTGACAACTGTGTGTGGCATGTACAGCTTTAGAGATTTTTGGCTTGGTATTAACACTTACTAAACTAAAATATATATATATTACATATTTATATAGATCTCTTTTTACTTTGCTGACTCAGTAATGCAGGAATCGTGAAGTCATCAGTTTGCTGTTGCAGAACGGATGTCATCACTGCCACTCCCTAAATCCTGGTCATAAATCAATTTTGTCATTTCAAATGAAACGATACACTGCATGTTAGCACACACATCACAATAGTCACAAGAAACCCTTGTGAAGTTACTAAAGTAGCTTGACAGTTATTTCCATGGTTACTCAGCCACCACGTATTGGGCCTAAAGGCTGGGTTTCTGCATGTCTCTTCGTCAACCTCGGCCAGTCTCTGCAGACTGTGAGGGAATGTTTCTGTGTAGGTGTGGGTCCTGCTCGGGTCCAGCTCAGCATTAGTCAGGAACTGAGCTCCCTATGTCTAACTTTGATGATCACCAGGTTTTCTTATTATATTGCAGTTTGTTTAATGTTTAATGTGCCTTTTTACTGATCTTTTGTTCCTTCCTCTTTGTCTCTTCACCTTTTTGTTTCGTGTCTCTCTTGCTGTCCTCCCACATTCCCACGCACCTGCAGGCTGAGTCTGGTTACGGTTCAGAGACGAGTCTGAGGCGTCATGGTTCCATGTTGTCTCTCACCTCAGCAGCTAGTGCCTTGTCTTCCACATCTACATCCTCCTTCAAGGTAAATCATCGTCATCAGTAACTG